AGTAGTAACTAAGTGATAATAAATCATACCTGTACTGTATAAAGAAACGAAGAAAATAAGACACGTAAATGCAAGCGAGGAAAACAGTAGGCAGTAGAAGATCCGTGCTAGAGTGTGTGTGAGGGCGTGTGTCTACTAAAGGTGTAGTAACCATGTACTCCTGCCGGTGAGTATACCTGTACAGTACAAGCCTCCTCCTCCTCCTCCACACACCAGCCACAATGTCGTCACCTTCCTTTAAATAATTTCTATGGAATGGAAATCCGGCATCCTGTGTCAGGCGCTCATTTTATTTTAAGAAGTGCTCGTCCAAGTTTAAGTTGTTCAACACTTTAGGTCAACCAACACTCATCCTCCAGTCAACCAACACACTCATCCACCAGTCAACCAACACACTCATCCACCAGTCAACCAACACACTCAACCAACACACTCATCCACCAGTCAACCAACACACTCATCCACCAGTCAACCAACACACTCATCCACCAGTCAACCAACACACTCATCCACCAGTCAACCAACACACTTAAACACACTCATCCACTACACTCATCCACCAGTCAACCAACACACTCATCCACCAGTCAACCAACACACTCACCCACCAGTCAACCAACACACTCAACCAACACACTCATCCACCACACTCATCCACCAGTCAACCAACACACTCAACCAACACACTCATCCACCACACTCATCCACCAGTCAACCAACACAGTGAAGGTATACAATAACTACATTAAGCGGGATGTTAACCAAAGTAATGTAATGTGATGGATTAATACTCGACCTGGGTAAGGTTATGGATGTGTTGCTATGTTATGGATGTGTCGTTTATGTTATGAATGTGTTGCTATGTTATGGATGTGTCGCTATGTTATGGATGTGTCGTTAATGTTATGAATGTGTTGCTATGTTATGGATGTGTCGCTATGTTATGGATGTGTCGCTATGTTATGGATGTGTCGCTAATGTTATGGATGTGTCGTTATGTTATGGATGTGTCGTTATGTTATGGATGTGTCGTTAATGTTATGAATGTGTTGCTATGTTATGGATGTGTCGCTATGTTATGGATGTGTCGTTATGTTATGGATGTGTCGTTAATGTTATGAATGTGTTGCTATGTTATGGATGTGTCGTTATGTTATGGATGTGTCGTTATGTTATGGATGTGTCGTTTATGTTTTTGAATGTATCTGTAGAGCCATTAATCTGCTATGTGTAGTTTATGAGGTGTCCAACACGTGTATTGATAGTGACACACACACACACTACCTCCTTGACCATCGTAGGGTGGAGACCTATTCAGGCACTGCTCCTGCTACGCAGCTGCCACCCCTTGGCCAATGTTCGGCCCATTCCCCGACCCATTCTCACCACCGGGATATCAACATAATCACGTGACAATATCGTTTCGGAAAGAAGTGGGATCAGTGTTGAACAGTGATGAACAGTGTTTAAGCCAGTTGAATTCAGCACTAGACAGTACCAGTGAGAGCCGCGACCCACCAGTGAGATAAGCACCCCTGGGAACTGACCACCGTCTTCTGACCAGGCGGTGCTAATCCGTCCACCCTGGGAACAACAGAGGGCCGGCCGGCTATGCACCTGACTACGAGATAACACAACATCACCGAGCAGAGTGAGGTGCTGTGACACCACCCAACACCACACGGTGTCCCCATGACCACGTGAGGTCCTTCATATCAACACCCGAGGACGAGTTAATGTACCACGTGAACACCACACCACCCGGTGTCTCCATGACCACGTGAAGTCCTTCCTATCAACACCCGAGGACGAGTTACTACACCACGTGAACACCACACCACCTGGTGTCTCAATGACCAGCCCAGGCCCGGGCCATCAACTGTAAACTATAATAATTTGTATTTTTAATTCATGTTCCTTCTTCTTTCAGTAATGAAAGCTTTTGTTAAGCGACCCACCCACCCCATGTCTTTGTATGTAATAAGTCATTTTTGCCCAATGTATATTTTCAGCCTTCGGGCTGCAGAACTTTTTCATTAAACCGTTAATAATTATTATTATTATTATTATTATTATTATTATTATTATTATTATTATTATTATTATTATTACACACACACTAACTGATACGTGTACATGACAATATTATAATCCTATAAATTAAACAGTAAAATAAAACTAGGTATCAGGCCAAATTAGATTAGGTTATGTTAGATTAGGTTAGGAAGTTGTTCGTCGGCAGTTGGAGTGACCTAACATGTGTGAGGCAGATGATAGCGAGAAGACAAGAGCACAGCCACGACACAACAGGGTAGAGGCGGATGTGTCAGTGACGGTGCACAGGGAGGGAGGAACGGGAGAAGACAAAGGCAGGGGCAGGGGCGGGACGGGGCGGGGCGGGAAAGTGTTTAGTTTGCGGGTGGTGGGATAAGCAGGGAGAGGCAGGCAGGGTAAAGCAAGTGTTAACAAGGTGGGATGGGTACGACTAGACATGGTGTAGTAGGGTGGGGTAAGGCTAGACAGGGTGTAGTAAGGTGGGGTAAGGCTAGACAGGGTGTAGTAGGGTGGGGTAAGGCTAGACAGGGTGTAGTAGGGTGGGGTAAGGCTAGACAGGGTGTAGTAGGGTAAGGCTAGTGTAGTATGTAGACAGGGTGTAGTAGGGTGGGGTAAGGCTAGACAGGGTGTAGTAGGGTGAGGTAAGGCTAGACAGGGTGTAGTGAGGGTGAGGTAAGGCTAGGCAGGGTGTAGTGAGGGTGAGGTAAGGCTAGACAGGGGTGTAGTAGGGGTGGGGCAAGGCTAGACAGGGTTTAGTAGGGTGGGGTAAGGCTAGACAGGGTGTAGTAGGGTGGGGTAAGGCTAGACAGGGTGTAGTAAGGTGGGGTAAGGCTAGACAGGGTGTAGTAGGGTGGGGTAAGGCTAGACAGGGTGTAGTAGGGTGGGGTAAGGCTAGACAGGGTGTAGTAGGGTGGGGTAAGGCTAGACAGGGTGTAGTAGGGTGAGGTAAGGCTAGGCAGGGTGTAGTGAGGGTGAGGTAAGGCTAGACAGGGTGTAGTGAGGGTTAGAAGTGGACGAGATTATCATCACTATCCCATAAGATGACTGTCTCAATATTCTGATTAATGTTTTTTATGTGCTGGACTACGTGGCTGCTGAGCTATCGGACTTGGCTGTCTGGCGACTTAAACTATAATCATGTGTGAAATGAAAGCTTGTAACCTAACCTAACCTAACCCAATTTAACCTAACCAAACCAAATTCAACCTAACCTAACCTAAACTAACCTAACCAACAGTACGTGCAGAAGAGGTGACAATCACATCTCTTATAACCGTGAATAACTCCTAAATTACACTAAATCACTACAGGAATAAAAACAAAATCACTGGAAGTTCTTTGCACACGCATCTGTTACCTCAAAACCTGATAAATACAGTCGATAACAGTGTTTACCAATACCTGTGGTCGACTGTATCAACCGTTTCAAAAATATTTTAAAAACACTGCTCAATTAACCACATCGGCCTCAAAAGGTAAACGATTCAGTACTTATTAGAGCGTTTACCTGTACACAATACCTTTATTATCTATATGAAATTACAGATAAAAGTCGTGTCACGCCCCCTAGCGTTATGTTCTGAAACTCCTGACGAAGAACTGAGGTTAAAGTGACAGCACAAACTTAGAGTCTCAACGGGGAACGTAACCAAATATTTTTCACTAGCAGAAACGCGCTCATTCGCTAGGCCACGGTAGGACGCCACCCTCCGGGAGGCTCCACATTGTCTCACTGTTCAGTCCCCAAAACTTCTTCTTCCATCAATCGTTCATTAACGGTGCATGTAAGTTCCACCATGTTTTTCACTACAACGGTTCAGCAAAGTATATTTTTTGAGCATTAAACTGTTATTATTTTATTGTCTAATCATCACTACATATAACACCACCCATCATCACTACATATAACATCATCCATACATATAACACCACCCATCATCACTACATATAACATCATCCATACATATAACACCATCCATCATCACTACATATAACATCATCCATCATCACTTCATATAACACCATCCATCATCACTACATATAACATCATCCATCATCACTACATATAACACCATCCATCATCACTACATATAACACCATCCATCATCACTACATATAACATCATCCATACATATAACACCATCCATCATCACTACATATAACATCATCCATCATCACTACATACAACACCATCCATCATCACTACAGATCGGTAAAGTAGTTTCCGAGATTCTCGTGCGGACACACAAACACACAGACAGACTTCTTTGTTTTATATACATAGATCATGGGTTGATGTTTTTCAGAACAAAGAGTGGTATGTGTAACGCGGCTTGTTCTGTCGATGTAGAAGCTAAACCCACTGTATTAACTTGTAAGGCGATTTGACTTAATATAATCCTATTTAATTATCCTGTCTGGCTAAAAGATATTAACCTATTTCAAAACGTGTCATAGCACTATTTGGTATAACACAAATTGTATGTTAGTTTACCTGTGTGTGTCTGTGTGTGTGTCTGTGTGTTTGTGTGTGTCTGTGTGTGTCTGTGTTACTGTGTGTGTCTGTGTGTGTCTGTGTTACTGTGTGTGTCTGTGTGTGTGTCTGTGTGTGTCTGTGTTACTGTGTGTGTCTGTGTGTGTGTCTGTGTGTGTCTGTGTGTCTGTGTGTGTCTGTGTTACTGTGTGTGTCTGTGTTACTGTGTGTGTCTGTGTGTGTCTGTGTTACTGTGTGTGTCTGTGTGTGTGTCTGTGTGTGTCTGTGTTACTGTGCTGTACAACGCTGGGATCTTTCGAGAGGGAGTCGACACAGCGCCCTGCTGCCACCTGGAGGCCGCCAGATAACACGCCCGATAAAGAAACACCTGACACACACACTCAAGTCATTAGGGACCTCAAGAAATCATTAGGATCACCTGTATATTAACCTTCCAAAAGGTTAATTCAACTCCATCCTAACGCTAACCTAACCTAACTCAATCTGACCTAACCTAACCCCACAGGTAGAGTTAGGTTAGATTAGGTTGTGATCAGCAAGTGAGAGAAGCTGGAGTGCTTAATCATCGGGTACTAATCCTCAATACTAACTCAACCTAACCTAAATCAACCTGAGCTAACCTAACCTAACCTGACCTGTGATTCAAAAGGCCTTATATGCCTGACGGTGAAGGTAAGCTGTTGAGAGGTGACCGGATGACTGACTCCCCCCTCAAACATAAGTAGTCAACCCCGCCCCCCAGACCGATAACTTACATAACTGGGACGCACCGCCACTCAAGACACCCCCCCCAGGTCTCCTTTAACACACCATTAAGGTTCATTCATCAAACAAAACAAACAGGTGATATAAGCTTTTGGGTGACTATATAAGCTTCTAATCTTCCGGTGATATAAGCTTGGGGTGACTAATCTTCAGGTGATATAAGCTTGGGGTGACTAATCTTCAGGTGATATAAGCTTGGGTAACTAATCTTCAGGTGATATAAGCTACTAATCTTCAGGTGATATAAGCTTTGACTAATCTTCATATATGATATCTTCAGGTGATATAAGCTTGGGTGACTAATCTTCAGGTGATATAAGCTTGGGTGACTAATCTTCCGGTGATATAAGCAGGGGTGACTAATCTTCAGGTGATATGCAAGGTTGACTAATCTTCAGGTGATATAAGCTTGGGGTGATATAAGCTTGGGTGACTAATCTTCAGGTGATATAAGCTTGGGGTGACTAATCTTCCGGTGATAAAAGCTTGGGGTGACTCATCTTCCGGTGATATAAGCTTGGGGTGACTAATCTTCCGGTGATAAAAGCTTGGGGTGACTCATCTTCCGGTGATATAAGCTTGGGGTGACTAATCTTCCGGTGATAAAAGCTTGGGGTGACTAATTTTCACCTGATGCCATAATACCTGTGCTAACTCACTCGACACTAAAACTGACCATAAAAAACTGAGCCATTTTGTTATCAGGTGAGAAGATTAAGACACAGTTATGATAATAGTGAGTCGTATAATATGAACACTTGTGTGAGGTCTGAGTACACACACACACACACACACACACACACACACACACACACACACACCATACTCGCTAAGTTATACTAATTGCAGTAAGCTAGTTGGTTGGTAAGCCTTTGACAAACTACGTGGCTTATGCCCAGGTGTGTTCCAATCACCTGAACATTAGCCCCCCAGCTTATTTCACTTGATTAAACACCCTAACGCTACCTTGGTGACGGGGGGGAGGTTATGTTAACATGAAGGTGAAATAGTCAGGGGTGCCTAATCTTCAGATGATCCTATATATATATATATATATACCTAGATCACGCGCACCTACAGTGATTTACTTGCATATATATATATATAATATTAAGTATATTCAGTAACTAATATTAAAAATTTCAAACTGCTGTATAGTTTGTTTTATAGTTCATTATTGTTTCAGGAGTGGAGGAGCGTGGCAGAGGACGGTGGGTGACGGCGCCCGGTGGGTGACGGGTGGTTACAACGTAACTAAAACACACACTACCGGGGCTTATCTTCCTGGAGTTCACAGAGGCCATGATCGCGTATCTTCTGATGATAAGTTAAGTTACGCCACTCGGGACAGCCAGGTGAGAATCATTAGCGGCTCTCACCCCCACACCAGCAACACACTCGACTCTTGTGCTCAACACACCTCTTGGTCCAGGACACACCAGGCCTTCCACTGTAAGGCAGCATCACTGGTTACTGATGAGCCTGGGAGACTTGGTCTCTGTTTACTGAGGATCCAACCTAGTCAACTGACTCAACACAGACAGTCCCTGATAGCAATATCAAAAAGATTGTTCAGCAAAACTGAAAATATTTCATCCACAGAAAACATTTCCAAACAACTTCCTGCCCAAAGGGAACAAGCGAGTTACTGTGAGAGTGACGAGCCTCCGTCAGATAGCAACATGAAGAAGGCCTTCCAGCTAATGGTGAAGACAGGTGACCAGGAGGGAGCCGGGACAGACGCTAATGTGTACGTGGAGTTGGAAGATGAGGCGGGCTTGGTCACTCCGCGCGTCAAGCTCGACAAGATTTTTTACAATGATCTAGAACGCTCCAAGAGAGACACCTACGATGTGGAATGTCCCGAAAACTTCGGCAAGGTGGTGAGCTTGAGGGTCACCCGAGACACCAAGGGCCTCGCCGACAACTGGTTCTGTGACTATATCCACGTCAACGATAATCGTACGCCCAAGAAAGTCTCCATGCAGCAGATCACTAAGTCCGTGCGGAACTTTTTAGGGTCAAATTACCTGAAGGAAAGCAAGTCGAAGGAGAAGATTGTGTACTTCTTCCCCATACACCGCTGGATCGCCCCCAAGCATGAGTACTTCTTCCACGAGTACGCGGTGTGTCTGCCTCAAGACGACCCCTGTCTGGGGCCCAGGAAGAGTAACTTGGAGAGCAAACGTAACTCCTACAATTTCATCGTACATAAGCCTGGATTGGTCGCTCAGGTGAGTACTGTACTGCATTCTTTTATGAAAACGCATAACCATGTACTGTTCACGTGAACATTACCATTCCCAGCTTATTTTACCTGATGCTTAAACACCCTAACGCTATCTTGGGGGTTAGGTTAGGTTACCGTTAAGGGTGCTTCATCATTAGGTACAACAAGCAGGGAGTGGTATTCTATAACTGACTCAGGTTTTTACCATACGGACGAAAATTGAGCTTCTTACTTTATTACATTCCAAGACAAATTATTTATGCACCACGAAATTAATGGGAAAAATCAAGAGGACCAGATGATGACCGACACATCTTGTGAGGGAGACGGCCAGGCGATAATGAGTTCACCTGGTGCTACACTCCCACTATTTCATGACAGGTCCTGGTAACGCCCTCATCCCCCTTACCTGCCACCTCTCCCTGCACCAACTCTCTCCCTTACCTGCCCACCAACTCTCTCCCTTACCTGCCCACCAACTCTCTCCCCTGCCCACCAACTCTCTCCTTACCTGCCCACCACTCTCCCACTGCTCTCTCTCCCACTGACAGCCCACCAATCTGCCTGGTGCCCTTACCTGCTCCCTTTGCCACCTCTCCTGCCTTCTCCACCTACTCTCTCCCTTACCAACTCTCTCCCTTACCTCCTCCCTGTCTCTCTCTCCCTCTCCTTCCCAACTCTCTCCCTTACCTGCCACCTCTCCTCCTGCTCTCTCCTTACCTGCCACCTCTCCCTTCACCAACTCTCCACTACCTCTCCCCTCTCTCTCCTTACCTGCCACCTCTCCTGCACCAACTCTCCTTACCTGCCACCTCTCCTGCACCAACTCTCTCCTTACCTGCCACCTCTCCCTTCCCACCTTACCTGCCACCTCTCCCTGCTGCCACCTCTCCCTTCTCTCCCTTACCTCCACCTCCCTTCACCTCCTCTCCCTTACCCTGCACTCCTCCTGCAACTCTCTCCTTACCTACCACTCTCCCTGCACCAACTCTCTCCTTGCCTCCCTTACCACCACCTCTCCCCTCAACTCTCCCTTACCTGCCACCTCTCCCTGCACCAACTCTCTCCCTTACCTGCCACCTCTCCTGCACCAACTCTCTCCCTTACCTCTCCCTGCACCAATCCTCTCTCCCTTACCTACCACTCTCCCCTGCACCAACTCTCTCCTTCACCAACCCCTGCCACCTCTCCCTTCACCAACTCTCTCCCTTCCTGCCACTCTCCCTGCACCAACTCTCTCCTTCTCCCCTTCTCCCCTCTCTCTCCTTACCTACCACCTCCTGCCACCTCTCCCTGCACCAACTCTCTCCCTTACCTGCCACCTCTCCCTGCACCAACTCTCTCCCTTACCTACCACCACCTCCCTTCACCAACTCTCTCCCTTACCTGCCACCTCTCCCTGCACCAACTCTCTCCCTTACCTACCACCTCTCCCTGCACCAACTCTCTCCCTTACTTGCCACCTCTCCCTGCACCAACTCTCTCCCTTACTTGCCACCTCTCCCTGTACCAACTCTCTCTCTCTCTCTCTCCCTTACCTGAGTCATTATACGGATTAACTACCTGAAGAAACGCCTACCTAGCCTATTTCACCCCATGATTAAACACTAACCTAACACTAACTTAACACTAACCTAAAGCAACTCTAACACTAACCTACCTAACAAGATAATCAGATAGCGATAAGATAGTTTAATCAACGGGTGAAATAAGCTTCGGGTGTCTAATCTTCAAGTGATCCCTTCATACAATTCCTCCTGGTGCCACTACCCATGAGCCTGTCTCTGTGTGGTGCATGGACTCTTCCTCCTTCCCTGTTGGCAGCTGTTATCGCTTGGGGACAGGATGCAAGAGGGTGCCCAATAAACTAGCCCCTGCGCGTTGTAACTGTGAGATGTGTGTCGCCATTATCGTGATGTGAGGAACACGTAGACTTGTAGGACCGTCGTCTGTCCAACCAACTCAAACGTCACGCGAGAACACCACTTTACTGTATACCTGAGAAACTAACACCCAAACACTCCAGCATGTAACAAGACTATGCTATAAACACAAGAACGATTAAGAAAATAAACGCCTTATCCACCGTAAACTGAAAATGGACGACATATCGACGTTTTAAGTATATTATCTTAGGACTCGGTAAACATAGCTCAAATTCTTTCCTTGTTCCTGCCCATCCACCTCCCCCCTCACCCCTCCAGCCCCCAAGAGGATAGGACCTGACGTTCCCTTCTTCTTCTCCTCCTCCTCAAACACTCGTCATCCCTAACAGGAAATGTATGAGGAGAATCTTCTTACATAATGTTTTCCCCGACTATGTGAAATAAAACCCACACCTTTCTTCTCCCACGTTCTACACTCCTACACTCTCCTCTACCGTCACACACCCACACACTACACTCTCCTCTACCGTCACATACTACACTTTCCTCTACCGTCACACACCCACATACTACACTCTCCTCTACCGTCCACATACACACACTCTTCCTCTACCGTCACACACCACACACACTACACTCTCCCTCTGTACATCACACACACCTCTACCGTCACACACCACACACTACACTCTCCTCTACTGTCACACACCCACACACTACACTCCCCTCTACCGTCACAAACCCACACACTACACTCTCCTCTACCGTCACACACCCACACACTACACTCTCCTCTACCGTCACACACCCACACACTACACTCCCCTCTACCGTCACAAACCCACACACTACACTCTCCTCTACCGTCACACACCCACACACTACACTCTCCTCTACCGTCACACACAGATAATGTTCAAGTGTGGCATCACTAGTATGAACAGATAACAGTACTATATCAATTTAGACAAGGAAAAGGGAAATACTAAAGTAATAATAATAATAAACAAAATTGTTATACAAGCTTGAAACTGTTTGACACATACCTAGTATATAGACAACACAGGTATACTGAGTACGGTACACGGACCGTACAGGTACAGTACACAAGGTACCTGAGTGATTGTGGTAATGACATCCCCGGCGACGCAGCAGCTTCACCGTACCTAGAGAGTGCGGGTATACAACAATAGTAAGCCTTGAGGTAATTTGTTCTAGGATAACTAATCAAGCCATCGGTGAAGGGGGGGTCATAAGTAGTGTTCCAGGACTTTAGGGTATGGATAACGCCGTCATAATAAGGGCCGGAAGTGCTGCGCTTGGCAGGAGACTGCGCCAAGCGTGGGACACTGCCAGGGCGGGCTACCACCACCGTGCCACCAGCCCACCACCAGTATCGCGTTCTCTCTCAGCTCGGTCACAAGGGTCCATCCTAGCTCCTCCCGCCACTACAGCCACGACCACCAAGCCGCTTACACCGCGTCACTGCTCTTACTTTGGAGCTTCTATTACCTGTTCCTTGTATCCTGCAGCTGTTGTTCTCCCTCACTGGCTTAATTCCTCACAATTCGACTTAAAATACAAAATACCAGTATCACAACAGCGGGTACATTAAACGTTTCAACTGCGGTCGTGGAACTTAATCAAGTTCTGAGTGGTAGCTTCACAACCTAGTCGTTTTCAAGGCGAAGAAAACTCATCCGATTTGGGCAGGGAAAATGATCAAGAGTCCTTTTCTTAAACGTCGTGACAAAAACCACAACAATGAGAAGGACGACGTGGAGATCAAGGTGGTGACTGGTGACCGTCGCGGGGCCGGCACAGACTCCAAGGTGTTCATCATCTTGCACGACTCAAACGGCCGCTCCTCCCCCCAGCTACGACTCAATAACCGCATGACAACAAACTGCCGAGGCCAGAGCTGCACCTTCAACAGGAATTCCGGCATCCCTGACCTCACCAACGTCAGTAGAATCGAATTCTGGATTGAAAAGTTTGGCTTGGGAGCTGGCTGGTTCGTGGATCGTATCTGCGTAAAGTTGTTATCGACGGAGAAGTCCTGGGTGTTCCCAGTGTTGAAATGGGTGAAGCCTTCAAAAGAGCACATCGTCCTCACCGTCAACGACTGCCTCCTGCCCCAGCACACACCCATGGACCTGAGAGCACAGCGCATGACTGACCTGGGCTTCAAGAAAGCCATCTACCGCTTCAAGCAGAACGTTCCCCATGGTCCCGCCCAGGTAAGTGAACACACACACACACACAGTACAGTCAAATAAACAAAATAGTTAACTGGAAACGTAAGACTCGGCATGAATATTAAACTGAGGCGCCCGGTGCCTGGTGTACTGTACTTCAAGGTCAAGTGTCTCCCAGACCCACCACACACACTACATATTCTCCCATGTAGTGTAGACATGATCACCATAGTGAGTGAATGAGTCGCTCGATAAGACAGTGTGGAGTGGGAGAAGTGCCAAAGTGTTGACAGTGGTGCCAGGTGCCTGAATTACACGCTGCTGTGTTGCCAAGTCTCTGCCGTGTACTGTTTGGCCGCACTACCTACACTAACATGTGCAGAGACCTCCTCCTCCTACAGGTCTCCCCCACCATCACCTCCTCCAGGACCCAATATCCCTTTCCTCTGCTGCAGTGATGTGATGCTTGACCTGACCAACAAGGCTCCCCAGGTCACGCCCCCCTCCCTCCCCGTGTTCTTCGTGACACATTAACACAGGTTACATCCCCTGCTTCTAATATCAATAAATAAACACATATTTATTAACTAACTTTCATCAACGTATACTAGTGATACAAATTAACAAAAATATATATTAATAATTATAACAGTATCAGCGACAAGTGATAAAAATAATAATAAAAACAACACTAATTTAATAAGATTAATAAAAAAAACATTACTACACTATGAATGGAGCAAGTTACCAAATGCCGTTAAGTCGTCGTGTGTGTTGTGTGTGTGTGTGTGTGTGTGCGTGCGTGCGAGACCGTAAGATTTCCCTTAATTCAGGGTATGGGTTATTGCAGTACTGTATTATTGCAATATTAACAGTAGGTTAGATGATAAATAACATGAGTAGAAAGAGAGAGAGAAAGA